GTTGATTTTTTAATCCCACACAGACATTTTGTTATTGTTTTATATACCCAATGTTTGTTTAGCGTCAGCCACGTATTTTCCTTTTTTAAAAAATTTAACTTTATTGCTATTCGTTCTTGCAGATCTACTGCCTTTGATACTCTGCAATTTCCTAGAAGTGTAGATGTAGGCTTCTTTTCATTTATTCTGTTTAGAATTTGTTGAGCTTCCTCAGTCTGAAGATGTGTCTCGATGATTCTGGATTCCTCAGCCACCTCATTCTCTTTTTCTCTACTAAATTTCCCTAGAATTTCAAAAAGATCTTCTTACTCTGCCCTTCATATCATGTAACCTGTCTTTTCTATTTTTCATCTCTTTGTCTTTCACGCTACGTTCAGGTGACTTCTTAACGTGTAATTCGCTATTACTTTCTCCACCAATGTTTAATCTCCTGATCCACTGAGCTCTCTTTGATAATCTCTTGCTTTATCATCATGCTTTCAGATCCCACTTTTATTTCTTTAAATATATTAAATGCATTTATTTTGCGTTTTGTGTTTTATAATTCTAGTATTTCCATCATTTACAGGCAAGATTGTTTTTCTGCAACATCTCATTCAGGTCGATTATTTAATCACCATTTAGTTATTTTTTTGGTTTTTTTGGATGATTCCTTGTTTCTTGGAATTTTATCTGTGGGAATTCTTTGAGACCTGAATTTAAAGCTCATTCCTTCAGAGGAGATTTGTGTTTACTTCTACCAGGCACTTGTGGGCAATTCTAACACAGGGCCACCTGTAGCTCCAGATTGGGTTGTAGGGAGCCTCCTAGATACTGTGATTTCCAGTCCCTAACTCAGGGTAAGTTAGGCTTCTGGTTGGTATCCTTAGAAGACTGATTTTCTTTTTTCTTTCTGTGTCTTTTTATTTCTCCCTTTTCCTTGCTTTTTCCTTTCCTTCCCTCCCTCCCTGCATTCCCTTCTTCCCCACTCCTTTCTTCCTTCTTTCCTTTTCTATTTCTTTCTTCTTTATATTTCCTCTTTTTTCCTTCTTTTGCTCCTCTTTCTCTCTCTTTCCTTTTTCTTTTCTTCCTCCTTCTGTCCCTCTCTTTTTTTCTTTCTTTTCCTTCCTTTTTTTCTGTCTTTCTTCTCACTTAGACTCAAAAGTGAGAAAGGCATGCATTCCCCACTGACTCCCTTTGCAGGACTCAATTTTTCTAGTTCACTAACTGAGAGTATCCCCCTTAGGAGACCTCAGATCCATATGGCATGGTCTCTAAGTCAGTCCCTCAGTCTATTCAGACCCCAAGCAGTCTTCCGTCCTTCTTGCAAAAAAACCTCAGCCTTCAGCCACCAGGGACCAACAGATGCCACCAGAGCAAAAGCTAAATGCAGATCCACTTAACTCTATGTGTTCATATTTTCTTGTTATTCTGGAATTTGAGGAATTCCTGTACTGTACAACCAGAGCTCAATTATGCCTTAAAAGGACTGTGTGTGTGCTTGTGTAGTTTTGCTGTGCCAAAAGATTTTTCTTTGAATGTTTAGTCTACCATTCAGCTGAAAACAGAGATTGGTGATATCTTTTCATGTCTTTATCTTCAGTGCTGAACATAGACCATAGCATGTAATAAGTATTCAATAAATGTATTTTAAATGCACGTAGATATTGTAGACTCAGAGCTTTCACTCCAAGATATAACTCTCCCTACGCTATCAAATATCTGAAACTAGTTTGAGTTACACGTTCTTTGAATTGGGAGTATCTTTAGATACTACAAGAGAGGTGCAACCTTATGCCTCTTTAGTCTTCATCTGGCTAACTTGTGCTGACTCTTGAGTGATCCATTTCTTTATCACCTCTTTCAGGAATACTTTCATGAGTCAACCCCACCACCATTATCCACAGACATCCTACTGTATGTTTTCATCACACCTGATGTTTACCTTGGCATAGTTTTTTCACAATGTATTTAATTTGTTGTCTAAATGTTAAATTGTAAACAATGAGCTCAGTGGCTGTGTCTTATTCACTTTGTGTCCCTTGCACTTGGCCCAGTGTCTGGTTCATAGCAGGGATCAATTAATGGTTTTCCATGATTGAGAGAATAATGCCTTTTAGAATATACACTTTTGGCCCCAAATATGTTTTTATTTTCAACACTCAGGCCTTTCTCTTTTGTATCAGATCTCTTAGAAAACACCTAGCTATTACTTTTTGGAGTCAGTAATTTAAATTGCATACTCCTCTCAAACCAATTTCTGTCAGAGTTAAATTGCTTCCTTAGCCCAAGAAAAAGAACACTTTAGAAAGCAAATGTTTTAACACTCAAAATGGTTTTATTGTTTTTGAAATGTGAAATATCATTAGCAAATGAAAGGCAGGATAATCATAACCATTACAAGTCTTACTCTAATTAGCTATTAATTATATTTGCTGTTTTATACTATATTGAAGAATTACAGCTATTTCATAGTCATCTTTCACTTCATTTTCATTCAAAGCTTGAATCTTGAAAGAATCATTAAAATGCCTTCTTAATTTATTTGCCAATTTATAGACATCATGACTCATATTCAAAAGTTCACTGCTTTGTTTATGAAATTTAGATTCCACTGAGATTGTTTACCTATCTGAAACTTCCAACCCAGTGAAATACCACTCTCAGCTGGAACTGAGCACTCTCCTCATTTTTTCTTTATTTATTTAAGTATATTTTCAAAGGTATTTATTCAGCATACACTGTACATGTCACTTTGGTATACACATACAAAGGTGGAGCAGGTTGACACCAAGATGGGTCAGACGTGACTCCTCCCCTCAAAGACTTCATCATCTAGAAAAATAAGAAGTAGATTATTATATGGGTGTGCCTCTCTGTCTGTGCATATAAATATTAATAACAGCTAGCAGTTATCAAGTTCTTATTATGTGCCATCACAGTTTTACATTTTTACAGGTAATTTATTTCATCAAATCCAAGGCCACTGATTATAAGACACACCATTATTGTAGTACCAATAAGAAAGAAACACTCCTTAAAAATTATAACTGTTTCTTGATTGTAAGATGCTTCTCAAGTATCAAAGATGTTAATATGTGAAAAAATGCAGGACTTGGAATTGATGAAATATAATAACTCATTTCAAGTTAGGTAATGTTATTGTTCCCATTTTATAGATGAGGACATTGATAGGGTTTAGAGATGTTAGGTAACTTGCCCAAGATCACACAGCTAGTGAGTAGATGAGTGGGGATTGAACCCACATCAGTCTGATTCCAAATGCCACACTCTTAGTCTCCATACTAGACCGGTATTGGATTCTATATGTAATAGGGTGTTCCAGAGTTTCCACATCTTTTGTTCCTGATGTGGCTTCATTTAAATTTGGAGAAGAATAGGGGCCTCTACTAATTCTCGAGAGAAATTGAATTTAGTTGAGATAATGTGACTGAATTTACCAAAAAAACCACACCAACCCTCTGTTTTGAAAATCATTTGTCTGAATTCTGCATAAGTGGTTATAGTAATCAGACTAAAGAGTATTTAGCAGATCTTACCAACATCTGTCATGAGGTAATTTATTTTTTAAAATCTATGAATCTGTGTAGCAAGTCACATTACATGTGGAAGTAGTGGTCTCAACAGAATGATAGAGACTGGACAAAAACTTAAATTAACTTTTACCATGAATGTAAACATCTGTTTTTCTATTTTTTTAAAGCGAAAATTAGTAGTTAGTGGAAACTATCCATCAAAGTTCTCTTTTTTAGATCTTATAAAAAGAAGTAGCAACATTTCTGTATAGCCTGTTGAAATTCTAGCACTGCATAATGTGTTGCAAATAATCTTTGTAAGGAGTGAAAATGACTATCCAAAAGCAAGAAACTGTTTACTTTGTCTTAAGTAACAACTGGCACAATCTATTTTTTAAAAAGCTAATGAATTAAGAAATAACAAATATGCACTACATTGTTTTTGCCTATAAATAGCGAATTATATGTAAGAACAAGCAGCAGTTAAGTGTGCTGTGGGCCAACTGCATAGTCATGGATACCAGAGACTTCGTCTATGGAAATTCAGCAAAACAGAATTAGAAATGTCAAACAGAAGATTATCATTAAGATAATTCTTCCAGAAATGAATCAAAAATTCTGTGCCAGCTGTTCATATCTTGAGTAGCCAAGATGAAATGGACAGAGCTAAAAAATCTAACATTGTTTTCTAAAATATGGTACGGCAACACCTAAATCAGAATAACCAGATCACTAGAGTGCTTGTTAGAAATACAGATTTATGACCCCCGTCCCAGACCCAATGTAACAGTACTTTGGGTAGAGCCCAAGAACCCACATTCTGAAGAAGCACCTCTAGCCACCAGTGACTAAAACCATGCTGGATTTGAGAACCATTGCTTTAATATGTAACTCTTCCCCACCTACTACTTTGGACTGAGGGCAGAAATGAACCAAACTCTAGGGATTTTTTTCACCAAATATCAGAGGTTAAATGTTTCATTTTCTAGGTATTTATGAAGCAGTATGGGAGCACACAAGGAAATGTGAGCTCCTGTATTCAAATGTATTGCGATTTTTGCGTGTCATTTAAACAACTGCTCAATGTGATTAAATGGAAGCAATAGGTGGTTGCAGAAAAAGAGGATTGAGGTAATCCTGGTAGCTGTGGAAATAGAAAGAGACAATTCCAGAAATTATTTCCAAAAAAAAGTCAGTAGGATCAGTGGCAAACTGAACATTAATGGTAAACAGAAGAGAAAATAAAAGAGTATCTTGGGTTTTGAATCTGGGTAGCAGAGAAGAGCGAGGCACTGACATGGGGATGGAATGTGGAAACAGTCTGAAAACAATGGAGAGGATGGCTGTGGGAGCAGTTGAGACTTCTGTGGCTGGCCCTTCTACTACCACATTTATAAAGATGGTGAATTGAATTTTGTTACAGAGTTTATGTATGAATGGACTTAACCAAATTGGGATCTAATTAATCATTATTTTCTTTTACAGCAATTGTTCAACTGTCAAGCTCTACGAAAACTAAGTATTCCTGATAATGACCTTTCAAATCTGCCAACCACTATTGCTAGTTTAGTTAATCTTAAAGAACTCGACATCAGTAAAAATGGTAAGATTCTCATCTCATCTCTAAATAACTTGAATTTTTTCCTGAAAATGTGCTTTAATGTTTTCTCTTAGCAAATGATATAATATAACACTTTTTCTTTGATTTTGCTGCAACTCTGCTACTTTTATTGCAAAGTTAAATCCTAAATTACAAGTCAAAAACAGAAAACCTCTCTGCCCTCCTCTTACTAATGTGCGTGACTCACTCAGTCCTTATTTCCCTCTACATTCAGATATGTACTTTACTTTTTTGTAGAATATTTTAGTGTCTTTATGCTGTTTATTTTCCTCACTCTCAGATTAAAAGTTTTTCCAATATGTCTCAAATATCACCTGCTCAATGAAGCCTATCTGGTCACCCTACTTGAAAGTGAACTCCCAATTTCCCTTGCTGTTCCGTTTTTTCCCATAGCACTGACGATCTTCTTGATATTGTAGAATTTACTTATTTACTATGGTTATTGTCTATCTTCTCCTGGCCTAGAATGTAAACTCCATCATGTGATGGTAGTGATTTTTCTCCATTTTGGTCACCGATGTATCTCAACTGTAAAGAGCAGTGACTGATCAATAATAGATGCTCAGTAGAATTTGCTGTATTTCTGGACAAAGTTGTATTTCTGATGATTGTGTGGATGCTGTTGATGATATTGATGTTCATCTTGATTATGTTTTCCTTCCAATGTTTGTGGGAGTCTTCTGTGCCCTCATACATTCATTAAATCCTCATTTCCTTCCAAATGACCTTCACTCTCCCTGTTATTAGAATAAAGCAAGCATCAGTCTAAAAAGATTATGTCTGGGCACTGTGAGGATATAAAACATGACTCCTCCATCTTTAAGCTAGTCAGTTACTCTGTGTGTGTGTGTGTGTGTTGCTTTGTTTATTTCAGGCAATGTACTTCATGTCAAAAGTATGATATGCTGGGTATGTCTATTATCTTCATGGGGCAATGGTATCATTGGTGTTTACCTATGTCCAGACTCATCAAATGGTATCCATTAAATATGTACAGTTCTTTGTGTATCCGTTATACCTCAGTAAAGCTCTTTGAAAAAAGAAAGTAAAAATTAATTTAGACAACCTAAACAAAAATGTTAGGTAAGACTGGCTTGACATTTTAGGTAAATAAGGATCTTAATGTAATCTGTTTTGTTAAGGACACTAGAAAAATCTCTTAATCATATGTAAATATGATGTTCCTGGACCATCTTGTTTAACATTAAGATCCTGCTGTTATTATCCACTAGAAGTAGACTCCATTTCCCTTTTCTGTTTTATTACTTTAATAACATTTATGAGAAACTGACATACTATATATTTAAATCATTTATGCATTATCTGGACTCCTCTCACTAGAAGTAAAATTCAGTGATGCCCCAATTTTGTTGTGTTTTGGTTACTGGTGTTTCTCTATGGCCTAAAACAGGATATGGCACATTGCAGGAGCTCAATAAATATTTATTGAGTGAATTCATAAATGAATGGTCCTTCTGGAACATGGAACACTTGTTGAAATGTACCAATGTGAATTGCTAGTGATTTCTTCCATTCGACTCTATGAGAGTCACAGAGAACTTTACAGTGTCACTGCAGAGATAAGACTAACACCTATAAGTAATCAGTGAATATTGTAAAACATACAATGAAGTGCTGAGCTATATATCACAAACTACAATTGTAAATTCTTAGAGAATAGGAGGATTAATTAAGGCTGCTTTATTATTAGGGTAGAGTTCAATTAAGGGATGTAAGCTTAGGATTTCCATGAGGCACAGTAGCACCTGCATAAAGGAGAGCATTTCAGTTGAAGGAGACAATCAGAGTGTGCACAGGGGACACACACATCTTTCTACACAAACTTGACTTACCTCTCAGTGGGTTTTCAGGAAGACAGTCCTAAAAGGACCATATGCAGACTTAGAGAGAGAATAGCAACTAGATTTAGGCCCATTGAAAGATGACATCAGGTCTACCTTTATTCTTTTAAGGGTGGATTTACAGGCCACGTACTTCTATGGATTGATATTTCTTTACTTTAATAACAATTAATACTGATTATGTATTTATATACATTCACACATCAAATTCTATTTTCAAATTACAATTTCAGAAACGTATCACACGGCCAAATATACCACATCCCTTGACTTTCAGGCAGGTTTGGCTGAATAAGTCAAAGAAATAAAAATCTATCTTACTTTCAAAGAGGATCAGAAAAACTTCATCACTAAATAGAAATGCTAAACTCCTGAGAAATGTGAAATTTTTATGAGCATTATAATAATCTCCGAGTGGCCCTCGCATCAAGAAATTTTTGTTGCCAGGAGGTGCATTGTAAGTTACACTTCTTCAACTCAGAAGCAAGTCTGTGATATCCTTAGAAGTCCTTGTGAGTATTACTTAGGGACTTTTAGCTGTGCTTATGATCTCTGTGTTTTGGAAATATTTATGCAAAAAGACATGTAAGACATGGAGAAGCACTCTGCAATGTTAGTACCGTATGAAACGTTCGATGAGCGTGTTGATAGATCAGCCATCGCCAACACTTACACAAACAGCGAAAGATTTCAACACATCAACTTTTTCAGAACATCTTACCTAAAAAAGCTGTCACTGAATTCTGTGGCAGAGAGCTAGACAGTTACTTAAGGAGCATAATACATCCTTTGGGAATCTGTCAGGTGAAGAAGGAGCAGAAAACAGAAAATAAATGCAGTTTCAGCATCACAGTTGATAAGGTTGGAATAGTCCTTGTGGAAAAGAGTCAAGACACCAGAGAATATAATCAGTATTGGTATTTAGAGACAGAAAATAGAATGTGACAGGGACTCATTCAAGTACTAGTCAATCTAGGTAAAAATTTACCTGAAATGTGCTTGAAGTTGAGTGACTCCTCACAATGAAACTAATTCACTAGGAGGCTGAGGTTAAATCTGATCTTGGTTGTCCCCACAGCCTCCAATCTTTACTTTTCATGTGCAATTCTTCCATCTGTCATGCTGATTCACGATTTTCCTTCCATAATTTAAAGATACTATTTTATGTTAAAACCTTTAGATAAGTGAACTATTGTATGAGAAAATGTATCTACGCAATTTGTATGAATAATTTCCATGTACCTCTCTAACCACGTTCCCAACTAACCCACCTTCTTTCCATTTTATCCTCAGGTAATGCCAAATTGTCACTCCCAAATGCATTAGACTGGTTGTTTTGACACAAGGAATCAGACTATTTTCTCTGCCCAGGGTATTCCTCCCACCCCACTGCTGTCCCTCATCAGCCAGAGTCCTCTTCACCTTTAAAAGACATTTCAGATGTCATTTATTCTGGGAAGCTTTCCTAACACTTTATACACAAAAAAGAATTAATTACTCCTTCCTCTGTTGTACCTTTATACCTTGAATATGTTTTTGCTTTGGACTTACCTCACTTGGTAATTTAATTTCTATGTATCCAAATATATTTGACTATGTTGTGAAACCCTTGAAATCAGGGACTACTTTACTCTTTCTCTATTTGGAGCTACTAGCACAGTTCCCAGCATGCATGGTAGGTGCTCAATAAATGATTGGTAGATACATAAACACTATACACAAGCATTGTTTTAAAATATATAATGCGTATTACATTACATTAGGGAACCTGCATAGGATAGGGTCCCCCCCCTCTTATACTGGCGACCTGCTAAATGTTGTAACTAAGTGCTGGAAAAGACAAAAATGCCACTGCAATAAGTAGTGAGTAACCACTAAAATCAGTTCCAACCTGCCATATAGTAATATATTTAATATCCTTGTTCCTTCAAATAAGTTACTACTTTATGTACAGCTGTGACCTCACCCTTGATCTTCAGACTGGTATAGCCAATTGCATGCCGGGCATAGCTATAATATGTTCCACAAACACCCCCAAATGTGATGTATTTAAAACCAAACTCATTATGCACTCCAATCTACTTTTCTTCCATTATTCAGTTCTGTTAATGTTACTATTATCCACACAGACATTCAATGCAAAAATCCATTCTTTCCTCTGACTCCCATATGCATTCAGCCACCAAATCCTGCCAAATTTACCTCCTAAACATATGTCAAGTCTGTTTCTTTCTCACCATTCCCATTGTTACAATCTTAATTTAGTTTCTTGCCTCTTTCCTAGACTACTTGAAAAGCTTCCTAATTGGTCTCTCCATGCCCATTATTGCCACCTCCATTCCCAAACCCATTCTCCACAAAGTGGCTTTGGCACTCTTTCTAAATTGCAGATATGACTAGGTTACTCTCCTACTTAAGATACTTCAGTTGATCTAGGATAGAGTGTAGGCTTCCTAATAGCATTAAAGGTCCCCACACTCGATCTTCACATTCACTTCCATCCCATCTGCCCACCTCACCAAAGAGGATTTGTGCTTTCTAACTTTATGGTCTAGATACTGAAGAGCCACCTCAAGTATTTAATGCTGTTTCACCATCTCTGTGTCTCTAATTATATTATTTCCTTTCACACTTCTTTTTACCAAGTTCAATCTCACTCATCATTCAAAACTCAATTTAGTGTTAAAATCTCGACACTTAGTTAATTAAAATATTTACATGGTTTTAATTTTTAAACTATTAAACATTTTTAGCATGAAGAAAATAACGTGAGACAGCAATGTGCCTACCATGAGATTTAAGTGTTAAGATTTGTTATAGATATCACATTCTTATTTAAAAAAATAATAATAAAGCGTTACAGAAATTTGTAAATTCTTATCCTCATCCCTTCCCACTTCTGCTCTCTTAGAGTCAACATCTTTAAAATTTCAGTGAAGTGCTAATACATTATATGTACTGTTCTGGAAATTTTTCATTTCACATTATGTTTCTGAAATTTGTTCTTGATGATCAATGTGGATCTAATTGTACCAGCAAAGAATCAAGTTCCCATGGCTCCATAACCCTCGGGGTTATTAGATATTTTAAATGTTGGCCAATCAGATGGATATATAAGGG